CCCACTGTACTGCTCGAATCATTCTCTGTCGAACAATGTAGAATACATCTATTTCAACCCTTTTTCTAGCAAAATCCTGCCAAAAATTCTCTATGGCAAAAACTGAAAATTGTCTCTCTCCTAACTCAGCCAGTATGAGTCTGACAGTTGGGAAATTTGTATAGGGTACTCGGCAAAGACAGGGGAACAAAACGTACCATTCAAATCTTTTTTATGAACACTTTCATTTTTTTTTATCGATTGTACCAGAAAGTTACGTTTCTCTCATATATTGTTGGTTTTTAGAATGTAAGAGCGTAAATAAAATCTCAACTGGCATTTATGTTCATGTCTGTTTTTGTTTTTTACAACGCTCTACTTCTTTTCGACATAGTACACGTTTTACATGAAAATTTGTAATAAAAAACAGAAGAGGTTTTGATCTTCCATTATACAGGTTATGTCAAATCATCATCATAGGAATATTTTTCCTTATTTATTTTTGATATGAATAACATTGTTCATTTATATTTGCTTTTATATTAATAGTGTTTTTCCAGATCAAATTGCGATGTTTTGTTTTTCAGTTTGAGATTAATGTCAAGATACACTTACAAATTATTTCTGACTCATTAACTAGATAATAAAAACAAACAACCATCATAAAAAAAAGACAACTGAAAAATAGATAGTAATTGGCACATTCATTTTTCTATAACTAATCTTGAAGATCTTACATGGTGACATGTTTGATGAAATCAAAATAATGTTTGACGACATCATACCAAATAGATACTAGGATGCTCAAGGATCTATTTTATAATGGCAAGAAAGAAGAATTTATTTACAAGCAGGACACATACACACCCACACACATAGCTTGAAGCTTTAATAGAAATAATAACAAGAATATGTACGTAAAACATATTCACACATTTATGAACAATGGTCAAAAAAATTAATATTCAAAACAAACGTTTTCAGCTGATTAATACAACTCAGCATGATGTAACGTTATCAAACTGCGCTAATTTTTGTCTTTAGAACGGAAGCAATGAAGAAAATTTATGTACACAAATATTTGTAAAATAGATATCGTATTTTAACGAAAAATATCACTAAGGAATCTTAACACACATACGTACACATTATATTTTACATTTTACTTCAAGCAAAAAGTGTAGAGATGATATTTATTACTTACAAGTACGGGATCGGCTTGATCTAATGTCTTTGAGCTATGTCTGGAACCTGATTGTAGAGAAGAACTGTGTGGATATAATGATGGTTTAGGTTTGATTGGTATGATTGGATTGCAATTGTCCGAAAACACTTCAAAAAAATATCATAAAATTACAGCAGTTTTTTGTGTTTAATCATCATACTTTGACTAGTTCGAGGTAGAAATTTAGTTACATCACTGTATGGAACATTGAACAAACTAATCTGTTAAATAAAATTCTATTATGTTGAAATTATCATTGATTCTAATATTATTCGAAAAACTTACCATTGCTACAGATGGATTATTTTCCAAGATGGCTGCGTATCTTGCGCCATTTTGTGATACAAGCAGTTTAACAAGAGTATAATTAAAATGAAATGCAGCTAAATGTATACCAGATACTGTTGACCAAGTTGACAACAGACCGTCATGAGAGGCTGAAATATATGATTAATTATGTCGATGTTATATAAAAGACTCAGATGATCGGGAGATTATTGTTTAACTCGCTCCGTATATGCGGAGTTTACGCTACCGATTTGAGGGAAAAGAATAAAATTTTCGATTGAGTCAGTCTACAGAATCCATACTATTATCAGAACGTAGGAAGCACCGGATTTCGGTAGTATACCATCATGCTGTAAGTACATAAATCTTCTAATTTTCTTCCTATTGGGAGAGTTGACCATCCGTAAAATTTCATGGGTACTTATCCTGACCACTGCTGGCATTGAGTAAGCGCTGTTTTTGAATTTTTTGAATCTTTAGATAAAAAGTTAGCACTCGACCATGCGGACTCGACCTGCTGGGAACTTTTCCTATCCGTGATGCATTTAGTGATCGAGAGTCTCACATCTCAAAATATAAACATCAGCCATCTTCAGTTTTTACCTGTAACAGCTACTGTTCCATCTATTGTGAACGCGACGCATACCATGGCATCATTATGGCCCAATAATTTGTGTACAACAGTACCATCTTTAAATGACCAAATAATTGCTAGTCCATCTGTGCCACCTGTTAATACTGATTTGCCATCCAGAGTTATGGCAATAGCTGTAATAGATTTTTCATGTTCAACTAATACCTGTGATAGACAGAAAATTTATTTTAAAATTCATAATACTATTATAGCTGAAATGTAAGTTTTACCTGTGTTAATTTTCCACTCGCTAATTCCCATAATTTGCAACTACAATCTTCACCACCTGATAATAAATATTGTGAATCCGATCGAAAAGCTATACACGTAATAGCACCTTGTGGATGATCAATTGAACGTACAACACGTGCATCATCTAATGACCAAATTTTTAAAACATTATCACCACTACCAGATACGACATAATGACCATCTGGTGAAACGCCCAATATTTTACACGGAACATTGTACGAATCAATTAATCCACCGTTATTTGCCCACCATGTTTTAATATAATTTTGTTCATCTGATGACAAAATTTTTCTATTATCTTCTAATATACATATATTTGATATTGGAGCTGAATGTCCCTAAAATATGAAACACATTTGTAGTTCATATTCTTTAATACGATATAAAAATTCTATTTACTTTAAATTCCGTTATGATTTCACCGAGTTCATTATCATACACATTAATGATAGAATCTTTTGATGCCGATAATGAAAATAAATAGGAATGTGAAAGAGCTACTTGTGTTACTGAACTACGATGATCCATTATATGTTCAGTTAATTCACCATCGATTAAATTCCATAACTTAACTGTACCTTGTTCACAACCTTGATAAAAAATATACCATTTTGTATTTAATATTAAACAAGAAGATCTTTCACCTACCAGATATAGCTACATCTCCTTCTTTTGATATGGCCAAACTTGTTATTGGTCTATCATCAGTGAATGATTCTGAACCGGTTTTAAAATCTCTAAATTGTTGTTTAATATTTAACACATAAATAGAATTCTAAACAAGATTATGATGTTATTTTATTCAATTTTAAGAATATGATACATTCTACACCTACCTGAGCAGCTGTAAATAAAAAACAACCGTCAGCTGACACAATCATATCATATATTGTTGTTTCATGATGTTTTAATATTCTTAGCAATACTGTTGAACGAAGATTATAAACATACAAATGTCCATTACTACAACCAACATAACATACCATCGAATCACTTGAAACAGCTAAACTTGTTACCTGTTAATAAAAAAATATATAATTAATCAATAATATTTTCAGTATATAGGCTTAACTTACTTCACCAGTATGTCCTTCAAGATGATGAATATGTGTACATGTAACTAATGATTTTACTTGAACCGAATTATCTTCACAAGCTAAACAACAAATAATAGAAACAAAAATATATATAAAATAAAAAATATTTGTTTATTATACTAACGTACCAACAATAATAAATGTATCATTTAACGATATGACCATGTGATTAATTGGACTACCAATTGTTTGTATTACTTCTAAAACTTGCATACCATGGAATATCCATCTTTTAACAGTTTGATCTTTGGATGCTGTTACTAAAATTGTATCATCTTGAGTTAATGCAATTGAAATTACAGCATCCGTATGTTGTTCAACTGAATGTTCAATTTCTCCTGTTTCTAAACGTAAAACTGTTACTAAACGATCCTTTGATCCAGTTACAATATGATCATTATTATGTGAAACAGTTAAACATAATATTTCACCTTGTTGAATACTAAAATAAATTAACGAATTATTTACTATTATACATAAAAATATTTTCGTTTTTCAAACCTATAAGTATGTTCAATATCACTTGAATTTAAATTCCATATTTTTATTGTATGATCAATGGATGTACTAATTAAAAACTTACTATTATACGTTAATTTAATTGCATTTATGACATCTGTATGACCTAGAAAAAATATAAAATCTTATTTGATGATATCTTAACATTCATAAGTATAGGTACGGATCAGTTTTTTCTGACTCTTTCTTTGAAACATTCAGGGTTATTAAGAATCGCTCAGACTTGCGGGAATATCTGTCATTTTGTAGAAAAAGATTTGTTCTATGTATTTATATAGAAGATAGATAAAATTAAAGGTTGAAAAAGAGAAGTGTTTTTAACAAATTACTAAAAAGATAGAAACAGTTATGATATTTAAGAATGCTCATATTTTTGTCACAATTAACTTTAAACTTTTATTGTTTTAACAAATACATAGAATAAACATTTGATCTACAAAACGAGACATTCTGTAAGACGTTGAGCGATTCTTAATAACCACGTTATAACAAATTTTCCTAAATGTCCTAACACATGCATGTCTAGATGAGTAGAAATAAATATATAAAATCTAATATTAACATACCAGAAAATTTTTTTACCAATTTTTTTGATGGTATATGATACATCCAAATTTCATTATTTTTTGTTGTACAAAATATATGTTGATTATAGGCTGTTAGTGCAATTTTATTTATATGATCTTGACAATGTAATACAGTAATTATTAATGGAGGAATACTTTTTAACCATGATGATAGTGGAACAAATACGGGAGCACCATAAAATTTACACCAATCATATGATTGAATATATAAATTTTCAATATGTTCACTATAATGATCTATATAAATAGAAATATTAAAAAATAAAATATATTTAAGTTAATTAATTCATTATCTATCTTACTTTTAATATATTTTAGTCTATTAATTAATTCACCGGCTAATAATATAGGATCTAGTTCAATAATTTCTTGAATATCTTCTAATATTGATTGTACTAATAATACGTCAACATCTAATATATTACTACAAATAATTTCTAATTCAATTAATAATTGTGTAATAGATAAACCATGAATTTTTGCTAATAAATATTCGAAACAACATAATGTATATTCTTTTAATCTATCAATATCACCTAGAAATTAAAAATATGTTTAAATAAAAGTTTTTAATATTTAAATAATATTATTAAACCTGAATGCATAAGTTGATACCATAATTCATAAATTCGTCTGTAATTATATAATGTGTCTGAATAAAGTAATGGTTGTTGGGAAATAAAACGACGACCCTCATCTTCTCTATAGAAAAAGACATAAAGTTGAAGTTTTTCTTGTGAAGAAAATTTTTGAATAATAAAAACAAAAAAAAATAAAATACCGTATTTGAAAGTTTTTATTCAAATCAATTAATGGTTTTGATTCAATAAATGCTTCAAGAAAATAATTGGCTATATCACGATGAGTTATTCGAATATCTTCAACTTTTTTCAAATAACGTTGTTTCATTTGTCGTCGAATAAATGTATGACTCCAACAGAGAAGAACTTTTTTATCAACATATCGTTCAGACAAAAATGGTTCTATGAAAAAATATGATCTACTTATAGTAAATGAGGAAAAAAACAACAACAACAAAAACATGACAGATTAAATAACCTACCAAGTTCATTCTTAACAGCTAACCATAATGATGGTGGAAATCTTAAATGTTTTGGTAAAACATCTTTTGAATATAATTCAAGAAAAAATTCATTATTACAACTTAATATATCTAATAATTCGACTTCGGCCATAGCCATTTGTGATGCACTAATATAATTGAAAATAAATGAACAGATTTTCGAATTAAATTTTTGCTCACAACGATCTTAAAAAGACAACAATAAGTGAAAAAATATTAAAACTTGTTCTACATAAGATAAGATAGAATATAATTGTTAAAGAAAATGCTTTTCAACCTTAGTGAGTTATTTTTTAGAAATTTATCAGGTAGATGACATAACGAAAATTCATTTTTTTTGGAAATTTTAAAAACTTCTTCATCGGGTCTTCTTATAGTGAAACAAAACGTTTTTTTTGTTTTATATTCAATTTTGACGAAAATCTCGACAAACCCACATGATATCAAATGATGATTGGAATATAATTTTCGATTCTCTATTCCATAACCATTTTCGCAATTTGAGCAAGCGAAAAAAATTATTAAGAATTAGAAATGTTGGAATATTTTAAGTCAAAGCAACGACTCAATCTTATACGAAAGTATTCTTTGTAGAATTTTCGTTCATTAGAAGGTTTTGGAGAAATGCAATAAAGCTATTCTAACTTTACGAAAAAAATGTTACACAACATTTCATTTTGGAGAGATCACTTTTCTCCCTCCTGGGTCAGAACTGCCGATTTTCGTCAAAAATATCGATTTTGAGAAAAGCACATGGTTGGATAGCCCAAAGTGTCTACTTTCTAATGGCATAATTTTTGTATCGATAGGAAAGGTTTTTCATAGATTCTGAGCGAGTTTTCCAGAATCCCTATAGCACAAAAAATCGCTTTCTTATTGCATAAGCGCACATGGCCACACACATGTTCATTAGATCCGCCCTGACCGATAACCTATAGCAAAGTATCAACAAATTATTTTTGACGCTCAAACAGTTTTTAAGTAAAACGCATTTAACAGAATCAAACTTATTTTGTGTTTTTCTCAAGGCTGTCTTTTAGCTTCAGAGCTTTCGTCACACGCACAGGAATTCTCGGTAACGATACATCGAAGGAGTTTTTCTTTTTTTTGATTTGTAGATAACACCTATAGCCAGGAGTTGACAGAGTACGATTTTTAAATTATGCTTCTATTTTTTATAGAAATGTGGATTTCTAAGAAACTTTCCAAGGATTTTTCGGATTTTAAAGTTCTATTAAGCACCAGAAATCCAGTAAATGAGAAATTCAAAAATCGGGCTCTATCAACTCCTCGGCAGAGGTGTTTGCTACAAAACAAAAACAGACCGAACTCTCGATCATTTATCTGCAATGAGAATTCCTGTGCGTGGTAGACGCCTATTTTTGGCCCTTGTTCTGACACCCTCCCACGAACAGTTGCTAGTGGCGTCAAAAAAGAAATTTCGTTACCACACTTTGACACGGTCAACATTCCCTGAAAGTTTAGTTCAGATCAGACCTACCTGAGCTGAGATAAATTTCTGATCTGAGGAAGGGGCCTTAAACAACTTCCATTCGAAAACTAAAAGAGTTTGTCAAAAGCCATGTAGAAATTATCCATATAGTCTATCATTCTAAGCAAAATCAATTTCCCTCAATTTTGAGCAAACAATGGTATAGTAAAAATACCATGCGACGACATCAGATACAATTATACAAAAAAATAAACAGTCTTTTATTTTAGAGGGTTTGGAAAAAACTTTTGCAAAACACCTAAGAAGACATATGTTCTCCATTCTGAAAATAGAAACATGCAACATCTATCTCAACTATGTCTCTTTATCTCGACGAATGACTTTTGAATGATTTGGCTATGACGAAGAAGAAACGTCATTAAATTGATAATTTTTGAAAAATTATCAGTTTTATTCTGCGAAAATAGAATCACTTACCAATGTAAGAATCTAAAATATCTTCAACAGATAAATTGTCGAAATTCAATTTTTGTTTCTTGTATTCAAGATATTTTAGATAGGTTTCGTTTAATATTAATTTTAACATGAAAAATATATACGGTTGTTCTATTTGTTGATGTATTTGTTTTGATATTGTTTGTAATAAAATATCAGAATAATAATTTCGATGTATTGTTGATAATTCTTGTTTAACATATGTCGATATATCACGAATATTAATTGATGATGATGACAATGGTAAAGCAATAATTTGATCTTCTTTTTCAATTTGTTTAAATAATGTTCGAATATTTAAATCACTATGTGGTGCTGTATGTAAATTTCTATTAACAGATAATATAACATGAATTTTAGGTGGTAATATTTTTAATAATGTTTGATAAAAATTAACATTTGTTGTTACATAACTTTGTGGTAATGTTTCTTCAATACCATCAATCATTAATATTAATGGTCGCTGTCCTTTTGATATTGTATCAAGCATTGTATGATAATGATCGACTAATGTATGATCACGTTGTTTAATATAAACATTTAAATGTTGTAAACAATTTAATTGTGAACAAATTGATAATAAAAGTTCATTAATATTTCGACTAGAATTAGTTAAATTATAATATCTGACAATTAAATATACATTTTTACTTCCACCTAATTGTGAGAGAATATTTTGAACAATTTTTGTACATAAGAGTGTTTTACCCGATGCTCTTGCACCTAGTATCAGTAATGGAGAATGTTCAATTTTATTTGCATTTAATGTAATACGTTTTATTTTTTCTAATAATGAATCAAAACCAAGACATGTTTGATTAACATACGATTGATAATGATATAAATGTATTAAAGCTTCATCGTATAAAACATGTTCATGAAATTTTAATTCGGGTACGAGAACGGCCGTTGTCGATGATAAATGATCATCAACAACAGCTTTAATACGTAAAAAAATAGCAGCATTCAATGTTCTTAAATATCGTTGATAGTCACTATCATCCGATTGAAAACCATTATCTTTCCAATTTAAGTTTAGTAATTGTCGATTATCATCGTCTAATTTTGTATTGATCATATCACGAAATTTTTTTAATTTTTCTTGACGAATTTTATCAAGTTTATTATTAACAATATCTAAATAGACATCACAACCTTTGCTCTTCTCAGATAAACCTAAAATTGAACAAAACTAATAATATTTCAAAAAAATAAGCTTTTGTTAGTAAAATATACCATCAAATTGTCGAATAATACACATACAACCGTCGGATGATTGTTTTAGACCAAAATTAAATAAGGTTTCAACACCTACGAGAAGTATTCAAATTTCAAATAGATATTTAAGTCAAAATGATGCAACCACCTAATTCTGTCTACTGTTTTACGTAACTTGTCTGAAAATGTGATTCCATCACGTTTTATGCTATTTTCCATTGTCTCATTTTATCAAGAAAAGTGTACTTTCTCAAACTCCCTAGAATTCTCAATTAAAAAGAAGATATTGCGAAAATAGTCAAAATTTTCTTTTTATAAACAATTCATGAGAGTTTGTTATCGATTGAAACGGTGTCCAAATGCGTGTAAACGACAAAATAACAGAAATGCGTTCAATCGATGTTTGAAACGCGTTTTTTATATCGATTAAACGGCTAAAAATCGCGTTTCAAACATCGATTGAACACATTTCTGTTATTTTGTCGTTTACACGCGTTTGGACACCGTTTCAATCAATAAAAAAATCTCATGGGAATGGATGCCTATGTTTTGTTGATATACTTTCATAACCGAGAACACTAAAATCTACCATTTTATTAATCATATTTTTCTTGGCAAAATGAGACAAACGCATGCTTCAGCCATCTTTTCGTTCGACAAATAGAAGGATGAGAAAATAGTACAAAATATTACGGAATCACGTTTTCAGCCGACTTATGTACAATAATTCTCTTATAGTTTTTCAACGAAAACATGACAAAAAATACGCAAGATAAAGTGTTTCGTATTTTTTCTAAATTTTTTAAAACAAAAACCATCTAAACTACGAACACATCTCATTTGATTTAGGAAAGTTTGCTCTACAATTGTAAATGTTGCACAACTCTAGTAGTCGTACTTTCGTTAAAAAACTTTTAGAAAGAAACAGATAACAGAATTATATGATTGCGTCGATGAATGTAAGAGAAAGAAGAGTTACCAGAAAGTAATGGAATATCTTGTAGTGATAATATTTCTTGTTTTGTTTTCATATTTGTTTTCTCTTTTGTTGATGTTTCTTGTAGAATTTGAGTAAATATTTCAATTAGTGATGTATAACTATCTTGCCATTCTCGATTATCCGTTACACTTAAATCATAGGTAGATGCTGATCTAAAAATAAA